AAGGAATGTGTAAACTGAGTCAGTAAAAATAATGATACTGCAATTTGAAGGAGCCATTAGTAAGGTAGTAAAAATTGCTACAAAATTCAGATACAGAAAATGAAGAAAATAATAAAACAAAAGTGGAAAAAAAGAAAACTATTAGTAAATTTTGATGTATTTGAAGTTAGGCTAAACTATTCATATTAAGGGAAGGTCAACATCTTTCAAGAAGCCATCTATATAAAATTCTAAAAAGAAGAAAAAGCAAAAAAATTAGAAAGGTTTAGTAATTGATTATTATAAGGAGGTAAAACAAATTTATCTAATAAATTATTGCAGATAAAAAAGAAAAAGATCTTGACAAACTTTTTTCATCTCATTTTACCTTTCAAAAATTTATAATATTTCTTCCTTTACCTTTCCTTGTATAATTTATCTTATTTCTCAAAAATTTCAAAATTTTATTTCTTTATTCTTCTCTTATATTTTACCTTACCTTTCAAAAAATTTCAACATTTTTTTCCTTTATATTTTCCTTATATTTTAACTCACCTCTCAAAAATTTTAATATTTTTTTCCTTTACTCTTCTCTTATAAATTTTACTTTACCTATTCAAAAAATTTTAACATTTTTTTCTTTATCTTTCCTTATAAATTTTATCATATCTCTTAAATATTTTAACAATTTTTTCTTTATTATTCCCTTTATTCTTTCCAATATGTATTTTTTTATTGAGTTTTTTAAAAATACATTACTTGCTTTTCTAAAGTTTCTTTTTATAAGTATTTTTTTAGGATCATATACTAATATGAAAAACTTTTCTATTACAAAACTCTTTAAACTAGTTGTTAGGTCTACTGATTCTAAAGATAGAGTTAGTTATATTTCTTTTATGCAACCAGTCTGATTTAGGTAATAAAAATATATCATAAGATAACCTTAATATCCTGATATATATTTTTTATTAAATTTTTTTTCAAATTAATTTGATTATACTAATTAAAAATTTTCTAATAAAATTTTCAAGTAGTAAACGAATAAATAGATGGTTGGAATAGCAGAATCTAAAAAAATAAAATTGAAAATGAGAATATTACTGCTAGTATATATTTTATTAAAATTTTTTTTTTTTGAAACTAATTTAATTATACTAATTGAAATTTTTTTTAATAAAAATTTTCAAGCAGCAGATAAATAGACAAATGAAATAGTATAAAGATTAAAATTTAAAGAAAGTTAATTAGAAGTGGGATATTATGATATAGATTTAAATTTTTCTTTAAATTTAATTTAATTTTAATTTTTATTTTTTGAATAATTTTTAATTTATTTTTATTTTTTAAAAAAATACAAATATCAAAAAAAATACAAATCAATTCAAATATAATATGTTTCTTAATTATTAATAATTTTGTACATTTTAGATTTCAAAAAAATTGAATAGTATTTTTTGCAAAAAAACAATTTTTTTAATTTTTTTATACAATTATTTTAGGTAAAATATAAAAATTTTAATTAAATAAAATATATAAAGACCTTAAGTAAAATTATTCAACAAGTTCAAATTTCTTAAATCTTAATTTTTATTAAGGTTAGTTTAATATTTATAAAGTTCATAATGCTAATGTATACTAATTTAGTTTTTCATTTATTTTAGCATTTAATTTAAGAAAATTACCTTTTATAGTCTAAGTAAAATTATTTAAAATATTTAAATTTTAATTTTTATTAAGGTTAGCTTGATATTTGTAAAGTTTGTAATAATAATGATATATAAATTCATTTTTTATGCTATTTAATGTTTTTTAATCATTTTATTTAAAAAAGTATAAAAAAGTTATTAATATTATTATTAAATGTTGACTAATTTTAATAATGCTTATTAAAAAAAAACTAAATAAAAAATTAAATTAAAAATACAAAAATTATTAAAATATAAAAAATAAATAAATTATTAATAAATTAATAAATAAAATAAAATATTAATAATATTTATAATTTTTTATTTGTATTTATTTTTTATATGTATTAAAAAAATTAGAAAAAAATATGTAACCTTATAATTAAAAAAAATTAAATCTAAAAATTAAAAAAAAATCAAATATTAAAATAAAATACAAATTAAAATAAGAATTAACTGAAAGAAAAATAAAATTAAAAAAATTAATTTAATTAATAAAAATTAAACTTCTTTTTTATTAATATAATTAAATGTTTTCAAAAATTTGGTTTTATATTTTTATTATTATAAATGAAATTTTAAAGTTTAATTGAATTAGTTACGTTATTATGACTGAAATTAATTTTCATTTGAAATTGAAATTCAGATGATCTTTGAGTATCTGAAATTAAGATTTTAATTTCAGACATCTTTTTTGTTATCTGAATTCTAACTTCAGATAACTTATAAAAATTTATTTAATTAATCACAATATGCCAATTTTATTTTTTATAATTTTGTAAAATATAATTAACTTTAAAATCTTACTTTTAGAATTTTAACTTTTAGCTGAATTATAATTTAAATTTTACAATATTTATTTATTAAATTATTAAATTTTATAACATTAAATTTCCAATTTTATTTTATTTTTTTTATTTTTTTTTAAAAATATTATTTTTTTTTCTTTTCTTTTATTATTTATTATTTTATTTTTTTAATGTAGATTTTTCTTTTTCTTTCTTTTTTTTTTGATTTGTTTACTTTTTATTTTCATTTTACATCTTTTTATTTATTTTTTAATTTTAACTTTTTTAATTTCGATTTTATTTTTATTCAGTTTTTAGCAAATAAGTAAGTTTTTTTATTTTTTTATTTTATTTTTATGCAAAATTTTTGATTGCATTAGATACTATATTAGTTAAATAAGTAATTTATTCATTTTTATTTTTTTTTATATTTTTAGAATATTTTATTGAAATTTCAGACTAAAGTAATTTAATTTGAAAAAGCAAAAAATAATTATTCAATTAAAAGAATATATTAAAAATATTTATTTTTTTTATTCTTTATTAATTAAAATAAATTGCTTACAATAAATGTAAATAATACATTTTTTATATTACTTTAATTTAATTTATAAATGTATAATTAGTATAAAATTCAGATTTTATCTAAAGTTCAATTTCAGACATCCTAATTTTATATTTGAAATTCAGATTCTGTCTAAAGTTCAATTTCACATATTTCAATTTCAGATTGCCTTATATTTGAAATTCAAATTCTATCTAAAGTTTAATTTTAGATATTTCAATTTTAGACATTCTTTTTTATTATCTGAATTCTAATTTTAAAAATTTATAAAAACTATTTTAACCAATTATAATATGCTAATTTTTTTTTGCAATTTCGTAAATATAGTTTAAAATTTTTATTTTTAAACTTTAACTTTTAGCTAAATTATAATTAAATTTCATGACATTTATTTATTAAATTTTGTAGCATTACTTTTAAATATTTTTATTTTTTATTTTATTATTTTTTAATGTTATTTTTATTTTTTTATTTTTTTCAATTTTTATTTTTTACTTTCTCTTTTCATTTTTTATTTTTATTATTTATTTTTTTTTAATATTTAATATTTTTTTTCATTTTTCATTTTATTGTTTATTTTTTTTTAATGTTTTTAATTTAATTTTATTTTTATTCAGTTTTTTAACAAATAAGTATTCTTTTTTTTAAGTTTATTCTGGTATTGCATTAGTCAAATAAGTGATTTTATTCATTTTTGTTTTCAGGTTTTTTTTTTTTTAAAAAACTTTAAACCAAAGTGATCAAATTTAAAAAAGCAAAAAATAATTATTCAATTAGAAGAACATGTTTACTTTCTTTAAATAGCAGAAAGTAAATAGAAAAAAAGCTCTTATCTTTACGAGTTACTTATATAATTATTTGTTTTAAAGCTAAAGATGAATTTAAAATAAAATTACTTAAACTTTTTATAAATATTTTCAAATTTTAATTATAGAGTAATTTACTTATTATAATTATTATAGAGTAATAAAGAAAAATAAATAAACATTTAAAAATTTAATTAAATAAATAAATTGCTTATGTACAAATGATAGATTACTTTAATTATAATTTATTAAGATAGTCTTGTATATGAAATTCAGATTGATTCTATCTGAAATTGAACTTTAGATATCTTAATTTCAGATGGCCTTGTATCTGAAATTCAATTTCAGATGGTCTTGATAGTTACACAGAAGTTGACCAATAAGATCATGACTGAAATTGGAATTCAAACAACAAAAAAGGTATCTGAAATTGGAATTCCGTTTGAATCTCAATTTCAGACACTCAAAGATCGTCTGAATTCCAACTTTTAACACAACACAATCAATTATTTAATGTTAAATAGTGGACGAAGTTCCCTGTAAACTGCAAACTCTAGTTTAAGGTAAAAGATTGATAATCAAAAAAATTTGAAAAAAAATAATTTTTTATTGAAATATTAAAATTATTTATCTATAATAAGCAGTTCTTGTTAAAAATGGTTATGAAAAAATATTATGAATTAAGTTTAAGAAAAATTATAAAATTGTAATTTTTTTAAACAGGTAATGCTCCTAAAGAGAATAAATATTTACTTGATCTTAAAATGTAATGGTTTGACTTCTCAACCTTAGAAACAATATTGCAGAATTTATAATATCACTTATACGCCTATTTGTTGTAGACCGACCACCTCCTAGAACTTTTTTGCTACTGGCCAAATTTCTGATGATTTTGTTATCAGATTTATATGATTATTCGACTTATCATTAGAAATCCCAAAGATTTTGAATTCGCATGAGTTGCTTTTGGTAAACCATTCATTCGATTTTAGTGAAAGAATTGAAAATTGATGCTGAAATTCGTAATCTTTGGTCAGAGTGTATTCAGATCCTTAAGTGTAGTTACGTCCATTGAAGGTTGAAGGCCACCACAAATTTTAAAAATAATTCCGCATAATGATATCTGTAACGCACAGATCATTACTACAAATAGAAACTATTTCAATGAAAGGATACTATGACCACATGGTTATTATCAGGTGTTGACATTCCGGAAGATCTTAACAGAGCAAAAAAAAGAAATAATTGCTGGTACCTGCAGCCACCGTGTTTAAAAAATAAAATAAAAAGTTATAACCAAAAGAAATTTTTTTAAAAAAAAAAGATGACAAAAAAAATAAAATAAAAATAAAACTACCTATCGAAAGCTATAGAAAGCGAACTAAAAAAAATTCCTGCAAAAATGAAGAATATTTTCGAGAACTAAATTTTCAAAAAATATTTATTTTTTTTAAAAAAAATGTAATTGTCTAAACCTTATTTTAACCATATAATGATTTAATTGGTTAGTTCAATCAGCGCAAAAAAGTAAATCTACTACATAAGTTGGCATAATATATGATTTCGTACCATGTTTTTCCAATAAACTCAAAAAATTTATGTAAAAGTCGCAGTATTTTACATTATTATAGAAATTTGTATAAGTTGATAAAATTTTAATGTATTATATTGATAAAATTATAAAATATAAAAAAAAAACTTTATAGTCTTTCTGTAGTAGTACAAATAATCTATCAAAAATTGTCAAATTCATTCATACATTCTTTGAATGGAAAAGTTAGAAAGCTTCATTACCCTTTGGCTTTCAAAGAAAGTTTGAACAACAAGGATTGCATTTGGTTACCGCCAAAATCCTTTGTGCCTTTTATGATAACCAACCTTGGAAATCGTGTAACATTGCTTTGTTATTGAATCTATTTTGGAATGTCATTTTGAATGATAGAAAATCATGTTCTTTATTTAAATGCAAAAAATCTTACGTTAGTCAGAACCTTATTTCCTAATAATTATCCCATTTGTTTGCAAATACCGAAGCTCGCCATCCCTTATATTGCTAGAATGGATTCGGCTTCGGTATCGAGCGAGCAAATTAAGGAAGAAACTTTTGATGAAAAAAATGCTAGTAGTTCGAATGAATGCGATGACTATGGGTCAAATCCACTTCCGTCTTTCAAACCTTCTCTACCAAATATTGCATCCAGAAATGCTTCCTTGCAATCACACGTTTCTACGCAATCAGAACCTCACAAGTTCAATAAAAGATTAAGAAACGCTTCTATACAATCAACGCAATCAGCACCTTCTAGTGTCTGTTTTCATAATCCGCCCCCTAATAAACCACTACCCCCACTTCCTTCTTTAAATCCTGTCTACAAATGTGTTCATAGTTTTGCTGAAGAAGATACAAGATATTTATCATTTAATACTTATGATATATTAGAAATTCTTGAAAAAAACAATAGTGGTTGGTGGCTAGCTAAAAAAGGTGAAAAACGAGGTTTTGTACCATTTCATTATTTAGAAGAAGTCAAAGTTGCTTCAAAACAAAGTAACATAATTAGGCGCAAACAATACGACTTACGAGCCCCTTTTAGCAGCTCACCTTTACAAACCGAAATAATTGAACAACTTACAATTAATGAGGCCAACTCGTCTAAAAAGTCTGCAAAAAATTCCCACTTAGTTCAAGAAGTCATGCTTTTCAATGAAAGGATCAAACCCCACAAACTGATTTCATCTAGAAAATCTACTTTAAGACCATTAGGGAAAAATGGGCAATGCGAGAAATGTAAGTGTTTCAGAACCGGACGTAACTGGTGTAAATACTGCAATAGTGAATATACTCAGAATAATTTCGGGAAATGGACAAGCGGTATCAAAGAACTTGATGAGTTTATTCAAGCAGCGCAACTTAAAGCCATCAATGCTAGATCAATGTTAGAGTGGATAGATTACCAAGAATTCACGGACGTGAAGCATATCGCAGATGGCGGTAATAGTTCGGTGTAGGTATCAGTGCTTTTGTTATAATTATGGACAGTGTGCATCGATATCTCATACTTACCTTGTTTATTAGATTTACGGCAAATTGGCATCAAGGTCCAATACGAGCATGGGATACAACTGCCAATGACTGGGAACGCGGCTGGGATACAACTACCAATGACTGTGAACTAGACAGTGAACTGACAAATTTGAATATAATAATATTGAAACGCTTAAATAATTCAAGAAATATGACATACTTGAAAGAGGCACGTAATAATTTAATCAATTTTAATTTTTCTTCTTATTTCTAATAATCTATCGCATTTATTAGTTGAATGCATATTAACATCAGCATGCGAATTAGGTTACCTCCATTATTAGATTGATCTCAAGAAGACGTTGGTTAATGGAATTCTGATAGAGAGCTTCACCTTTACATGATAAATTCATTTGTTTCAACATTAAAAAGACAATATAGGAAATTGGTTGAACAAATAATTTATCACTTACTTCGTTCATCCATCTCTTCCAAATATTTAAGCTGCTCAATGGATAAGGAAGGAAGTATTTGACTTGAGCTATTTTTGAATGGATAATTTGAAATTGCATTTGTTGTTTCCAATTTCTTAGGGCAAATTAATTGCCCATTCATGATTTTCTCAGTCAATCCGACAAATGTTGTTTCTAATTCACGTGACTTAGGTCGCAGTTCTGGATCTCTACTCCAGCAAGCCTGCATTATTAAGGAATAATAATCGGGTAAATCTTGTGTAATGTCAGGACGTTTTCCTGTTCACAGAAATATTTTTAGAATTGTATTGACAACCATTAGAATATTGACCAAAGATTATAAAAACATGTTATGCCTTCACAAATATCTAATGCTAGAAATATGTCGTTTTTTCTTCCCTCGAATGGCCGTTTACCAGACCATAGTTCATACATGATCATTCCGAAGCTATATACATCAGCCGCTCGAGTATATGGATATCCACGTAAAACTTCTGGTGCAACATAAGGAAGCACTCCATAAATTTTCTTTTCATCTTTATCGACAGAAGTTTTGTGCCAGCAAAGACCAAGATCGCATATCATTGTCCAACTACCAATGACTGTGAACTAGACAGTGAACTGACAAATTTGAATATAATAATATTGAAACG